AAAAAAAGAAGAAAAATAAGTGTAATCTTCGGCGAAACCCTGGGAGGGTTAAGAGGATGAGGATCCTAAAAACGGCTAAGTTCCCAAGGAAAAAAAAAGAAGAAAAATAAGTGTAATCTTCGGCGAAGCCCTGGTAAAGTTAGTGAGTGGTTGACCCACAAAAACGACCAAGTTCTCGAGGAAAAAAAAGAAGAAAAATAAGTGTTATCTTCGGCGAACCCCTGAGGAGGTTGAGTGTGTGATTGACCCACTAAAACGACTAAGTTGCCAAAGAAAAAGAAAAAGAAATATAAATCTGATCTTCGGTGACGCGCTGGGAAGGTTGACCGGGTGGTTGACCCACAAAAAAGACTAAGTTCCCGAAGAAAAAAAAARAAAAATTAGTGTAATCTTCAACGAAGTGTTGGGGAGGTTGAGTGGAAGGGTGACCCACAAAACCGACTAAGTTCCCAAAGAAAAGAAAAAAAAAAAAAAAAAAGTGTAATCTTCGGCGAAGCCCAGGGAAGGTTGAGAGGACGAGGACCCTAAAAACGGCTAAGTTTCCAAGGGAAAAAAAAAAGAAAAATAAGTGTGATCTTTGGCGAAGTCTTTGGAGGTTAAGTGGGTGTTGATAGCTAGAGCAAAATGAGAGTGTTACAAGCTCAGCAACATAAATCAGGAAAAAAGTATGAGGAGAGAGAACGAATTACATAGCATAGGGATGACATCTTCTAGCCCGTCTAGCACGGGTATTCTCATTTTCACGCCTTACTTTAGCAATAGCATAGCGAAGAGTGCCGAAGGAAACTTCTGCGAAGATTCTGAGAACACGTAGGCAGAAAATAGTGACATCTATGAACCACAACAAGCATTGGATTCAATCCATATCTGGACAACAGGTCGATACAGGGAACAAGGATGGCAGAGGGGAGGGATATGAAGAGAAGAAGGAGAGGGAAGAAGAGGGGAGAGGAAGAAGAAACAAGGCAGGGAAATGCAGAGGAAGAGATAGCATAACAAGAAATACTCAAGCCCAAGCGCTTTTTTATTCGAATTGAATAAACGTGAAACTCAAACAAACTCTCATCGGGTGGCTTGGCATAGACAGCGCTGCCACACTGTCTTCATACGGAGCACCCAATCGAAGCATGGATCGACAATGCCCAACATGTTTCGACTGTCGCCGACGAACAGTCCTCTTTAGGGGCACAAAAAACGCTAAGCATTGAGATACTGATTGCTGTGGAGCGGGAAGTATATATATAGAGAGAGAGAGAGAGAGAGAAAGGGGGTAGAGAAGAGAAATCCGAGAGATACATGAGGTTGGCGGTCGAAATACTTAGCTGCAGCGAGGGAGAGATTCGTATCGGTTTTCATGACGAAGGCGAGGTCGTGAGAAGGGCATATGAGCAGTGAAGAAGCCGAAAGTCGACGCGCAGTCGGGCATGACAACGCAGCAGCCGTAGGGAACTAGCGGGTCCGTCGGCAAGGTGGTGGAACTCAAAGAGGCAGAAATAATTGAAAGTGAGGAATAAGTAGGGACGGACTGTACTTGCATAGGCGGGGAAGGGGGCAGGAAGAGGGTCGAGAAGTCAGAAGGGAAACTGGTATCCGTCGTTAAACTAAGGTGCGTAGATGGGAGGCGGGGAGACAAAAAATTAACTAGTCCGCCTTCCTGGTCCTGTTCAATGAGGATTAAGGGGCCCTGTTCGAACAAAGTCCCCCTGGGTAATGTTGGGTCTGCAAGCCTCGGACCGTTGCCTGAAACAAGGGGCCAGCATCCCCCCCCCCGTGTCTGTTACTTGGAATCTCGGGCTAAAAAGCCTTTCCTTCTGGCAGACCTTCAGCAGATTTACCCTTGTTCACTTGGGTGATGTTGGGTCTACAAGCCTCGGACCGTTGCTTGAAACAAGGGGCCAGCGTCCCCCCCCCCTTTTTTTGCGTGTCTGTTACTTGGAATCTCGGGCCAAAAGCCTTTCCTTCTGACAGGCCTTCAGCAGATTTACCCTTGTTCCCTTGGCTCATGTCAGAAGAGTTTATCCCAGCCGGTGAGGCAGTGCGCCCAGTCCTTCCAACCATCGGCATAGTGCATTGTCAAAGAAGTAATCAGGATAGCCACGGTGTCGGAGCTCTTGTTTGAATGTGATAAGAAAAACAATTTCTGAAACAGGCATGGTCGTCAAGTGCTTGGCGCGATGCAGGAAGGAAGTAATTATTGCAATTTTCTATTGTTAACTTGAGTAGGACAGGAAGTCTTGCACAGCTTGGAAGGCGATAGTCCCGGAGGAATCGAGGGAAGCCTGGTTTCTATGAGTAGGGGTGCAACACACCCGAAGTGGGTGGGAGAACACTTGCAGTTGACACCCCAGAAAGTCCCATCTTTCACATGTGCTGGTTTTTTCTAGAGTGAGGTTTTGTCATAACAGACCGCAAAGTGTTCAAGTATGGTTTTTGCCTTGTCGTGTGCCATGTAGCAGTATTTATTAAATCGTACGAAGACTAAGACATCATCTACGAGGCGCATACCATGAATTAGAGCTCTATCCTTTTCCAGGGACATCAGGAAATTGTACTCGTTGTACATACAGAGCATGGCTGCCAGCGCAGGGCTGGAAGCTTTACCCATAGGTACCCCTACCACTTGTTTGAGCAAGCGACCTCTAATTAGCACATAGGTGTTGGAAATATCAAATGAGATGAAATCTTCTATAAGCGAAAACGAGATTCGTTTCCATCCTAGAACAGAAGTACTTTTTGACAGCCTAGCTCCTTTGCCTTTCTTTTTTACCCAGACTCCATCATAGCCCTTGAGCTGTAAGAACAAAGAGAACCAGGCAATGGCATCCCGGATAGAACAGTGGGGTAGTCTGCAGAACATTTCTTTGACATCATAGCTAGCACTGAGTAGGAGATCTGTAGGGAGCAGGGATTGATTGAAGTTCTTGAGAGAAGGGACAAGATCCTTAGTACTGAACAGGTTGAAGTGGAGGTTGGGAGGTAATTGCTTAATTAGAGCGTTTAGGCAGGATGTGATTTTTTTGCAAGCTGCTAGCGAGGGTTCAGATGACGTTGGACAAATTGGACGTCATCTCCTGATGTCTTTATGTTTGGGGATGGTGTATCCTTTGCCGACACAGCCCTTAGCATTCCAGGTCCCGATGGATTCGAAGCCTTGCTCTCGATACTTAGTCCGACATTCCTTAAGCACAATCTTTTCTGCGTCGTTTAGAAGCTTAAAGCCTGGGTTGGAGAGGAACAGACTATTCGGTCCTTTTTCGTAGATATGAGGGCAACAAAGAAGCGTATCCCCTAGATTATGATCCAGCGGGACGAGCACTAATCCATTCGTGAGTTCTTTTATCCATTACACACTTTCGGGAAAAAACGGCAATTCAGCGAGGGGGCTGGGGAGAGCTGCTGGAGAAGAGGAAGAAGACAAAGAAGAAGAAGAAGAAGAAGAAGAAGAAGACGGAGAGAAGGAGGGAGAAGAGTAAGGAGAAGGAGAAGAAGAAAATGGAGGTGACAGGGGGACTTTAGCAAAGGAGAAAGCAGGACTGGAGGCAAAGGGAGGGTTGGTAGGAGGTTGCTTGAAGCATAGCCGAAGTCGAGAGTTAGGAATGTTGAAACTGTAGGGAGTTAGTGGAGGATTGGGGATGGTGTTAAGGGTTGCAAGAATCTGAGTCCGGAGAAAGCCTAGGGAATATGATCGTGAGGGTGGGGTTATATTCCGTGTGTTACGAAACCAAGGTGGGAAGATCTAGGTATCCTTAACTCTGAGACATATGTGGTCATTTTCTCTGGGAAGGAAAATGGGAGAAAAAGGTTGAGGAGAGGGGAGATCAGGGGTGTGTGATTGTGGCAACAGAGATCCGAATTTGCTATCAACTGAGTCACAGCAGCAGGTTAGTTGTTCCATCCTAGCGAACTGTCGAAAATTGTGTAAGGATTGCGCGAGACTGGAATTCTTAGTCCATACAACTCGAATTCTTCTGGCCATCAGACTTGCCAACGATACTGGAGTGATGACTTCGCGGACCAACTGCACACATAACGACCTCACTCTTGCTTTAGAAATCAAATCAGAGAATCTCAATTTGAACATCAGTCTCCTCCTGGGGCATATGTTAAAGCGTCGGCGGATGACGTTTGACAACATAGTGCGCAAAGTCTGCCTAGAAGATTTTTTAGATATACATCTGATAGCTCCATAGGCATAAATGAGATTGTCTAATGACCACTTGTAGAGAGATTTGCGCTGATACGGGTGGCTAAGTAAACGCACCACTGGCTCTTTGAGACCTTCCGACCGAGAACAAAATTTCATGATAGCAGCGACCCGGAACATATGGCCGCCTGTTACCCCAATCCTTACAATTTTTATGCAGACGAACACATCCATTAAGCACATTCATCAGGGACACCGAGTTGACACCAACCGAGGAAGCATAATAAGTGAGACGACTCCTAGCATAGTTAGGTCGATCGGAGACAGGTAGATTCCGAATACAATCTTCTTGGGACGCTTTCAGAGCTTTCCTTGCCCTTTCCCGCTTTCCTAGTCAATTTTTTCTATTTTTCTTCTTCGGTGAGGCAGCCGGTCTAGAATTAAGGTAGGGGGACGTCCTCCTGATGATGTACTTTTGTGCTGACAGTAAATCGCCGGAATTCTGAACTGCGAGAGGGATTGCAACATAATGGAAGAGTCTCACTCTTCTAAACCATCTGTATAATTTGTGGTTCCGGACAGGAGTCAAGACAAACGGAGACAGCTGACGATCCGTTCTACCCACATGTTCAGCCCATCGATCGCAGATAGTTCTGGAGGTACAACCTACGTAAGTGTGCTTAGTGAGGGGTGAAAGCAAGCAATAAACAACAGGGTCACGTGCTGTCAGAAAATCATAACCATTTTCTATGAGATACCGTAATTGATCTTGAAACTTTAAACCCCACGGGATCTGTCCTAAGAAAATCAGCCCAATAACGACCATCCTAACTAGGTAGTTAAGATATATGTCGAGGACACCATCTTTGGTCTTACGAAGAGAAAAGCAAGACAACAGAAGCTCCCATAGCGAGTCAGCGCTTGGGTCGCACCCCTATTCTTCCGCCAAGTGCTCCTCATCATCGATATCAACAGGCTGCGTGGCCTGCCCATCGTCATGTACGTCTTCCTTAGCTTCGTCCGCCTCGGATTCAGGAGCAGATCTCCCAACCTTGAAAGCTTCAGGACGGAAATCGAAGGCGAGCGCTGCCCTGTGCTCGGCGATGTAGTTGATTGCCTGCTCGCAGGTGGTGAAAGAGATGCCCTCTCTGCCGCATAAGATCTGGAGTCCATTCTTCTTCAGGCGTTTGAGGTGCCTCTTCGTTTCCTTGATGAAGTCGGCCCGTTCAGTGGCCGCTACCTTGGTAGCCAATCTCCTAGAAGTTCTCTTCGGTGGAGATGGCCGCAGGGTAATATCATCGAGCGCATCGTCCTGCTTGCCTAGGTTCTCCGGTTCGTCATCATCTGACACTTCATTGATTCGCTTGGAGAGGTTGGACCTAGGTGTTCGTCCCTGCCTGACAAGCTTCCCGATGGCACGTTCGAAGCGTTCCTTCAGCATTTGGACCTCCATGTCGACCGCTCTCTTACCTTCTTTGATTGAGTTGCACGCCCTGAGCAGTTTTTGGAAGTCCTGAGAAGTGGGAGTGCCCACCCCCATCAAACGCGGTCTGCCTCGAGCTGGCGCTTCAGGAGGACTGGTGATGCAGACCCCTGCTCCTGTTCTCTTCGTATCGGCGACAGACTGTTTGATCGTACGTGACAGCTCTTTCATATTCTTTTTGATCCATTCGTTCTCTATACGTAGCTGCTCGATTTGCTTACGCAGGCACTCCTTCTCAGCTTCCTCATCGATTCTGGGTCTTGCATGCTCTGCAGATGTCTTGCGTTCGCCCGCCATCCTGTTCAAATCAACTTTACCAAGAAATAATTCGCAAGCATCATTGATCTTGGTACCGACAATGGTGCCGATTCGCTCTTCGAAGTCCTGGCGCTCCTTCAACTTCCTCAGTGCCTTATCTTCCGCATCTTTGATCTTCTTCTTTTCTGCCTCTTCCTTGAGCAGACGTTCCCTTTCGCGAATAGCCTCCTGCCTTACTTCGAGTTCAGAAGCCATGAATTCATAGACTCGGTCCAGCTTATCTTGGTTGAGCTTCCACAAGGGTTGTCGAAGCACGAGAGCCTGGGAGCCATTAGGTTGGGAGGTAGGGGAAGGGGGAGGAGGAGGCAAAGCGAGGAAAGGGGCTCGCGAGAGGGACGGAGAAGCGAGGGGAGACGAATGTGGCGGGGGTGGGAAGGGCACCCGGAAGCCGCTGGGCTGCTGAGGGAGGGAAGGTTGCCGATAGGGGCAATCCCTAGCGAAGTGACCTGCCATGTTACAGTTGTAACAAAACCCTCTCGACGCCATCTTGAAACCCTGAGAAAACACGTCTTAACCTGGCTTCCTGTGAGGTGGCGAACAACGACAAAGCCAACAAAAAACAAAAACAACAAGTAGAAACACGAAGTAGCCCAGCGGGATTAGCGGATGGTACTTCGGACATACGAGGAGGTGAGAATATGCCGGATAACGATGCGGACGCAACAGTAGCAAGTATGAGTTGGGGATAATCGAGAGGGGACGGTTGATAACAGCAGAGGATGAGACGACTAAAGAGCAAGTGGAGAAGGGAATGGACCAATGATGAGGATGGGAAATACCAGATAAGGGATACAATACAGATAGAGGAAAAAATTGAAACAGAGGCGAAAGTAGAAGTACAAGTGACAACGGTAACGGCAGTAAAATAGAGGTGATGAGGGCAATCAGATGGGAAGGGAGGTAAGGAAGGTAAGGTAAGGTAAGGTAAGGTAAGGTAAGGTAAGGTAAGGTAACGAACAAGCAACCACACTAACAGTAGTATTACTTCTACTAAGGTTATTGCCCGAATCGATGTTGATAGCTAGAGCAAAATGACGGTGTCACAAGCTCAGCAACATAAATCAGGAAAAAAGTGCGAGGGGAGAGAACGAATTGTATAGCATAAGGATGACATCTTCTAGCCCGTCTAGCACGGGTATTCTCATTTTCACGCCTTACTTTAGCAATAGCATAGCGAAGAGTGCCGAAGGAAAACTTCTGCGAAGATTCTGAGAACACGTAGGCAGTGGGTGGTTGACCCATAAAAACAACTAAGTTCTCAAAGAAAAATAAAAATAAAAATAAGTGTTATATTCGGCGAAACCATGAGAGGTTGAGTGGGTGGTTGACCCACAAAAACGACTAAATTCCCGAGGAAAAAAAAGAAGAAAAATAAGTGTAATCTTCGGCTAAGCCCTGGGAGGTTGAGTGGGTGATTGACCCACTAAAACGACTAAGTTGCCAAAGAAAAAAAAGAAGAAATATAAGTCTAATCTTCGGTTAAGCGCTTGGGAGGTTGACTGGGTGGTTGACCCACAAAAACGACTAAGTTCCCAGAGAAAAAAAAAAAAGAAAAATAAGTGTAATCTTTGGCGAAGCGCTGGGGGGGTTGAGTTGGTGGTTGACGCAAAAAAAAGACTAAATTCCCAAAGAAAAAAAAAAAAGAAAAATAAGTGTAATCTTCGGCGAAACTCTATTGAGGGTTAAGAGGACGAGGACCCTAAAAACGACCAAGTTCCCGAGGAAACAAAATAAGAAAAATTAGTGTGATCTTCGGCGAAATCCTGGGAGGTTGACTAGGTGGTTAACCCATAAAAAGGACCAAGTTCTCAAGGAAAATAATAAGAAAAATCAGTGTAATCTTCGACGAAGCCCAAGGGAGGTTGAGTGGGTGGTTAACCCATAAGAATGACTAAGTTTCAAGGAAAACAAAGAAGAAAAATTAGTGTAATCTTCGGCGAAGCCCTGGGAGGTTAAACCACAAAAACGACTAAGTTCTCGATGAAACAAAACAAGAAAAATAAGTGTAATCGTCGGCGAAGCACTAGGGAGGTTGAGTGGGTGGTTGACCCACAAAAACGACTAAGTTCCCAAAGAAAAAAAAGAAGAAAAATAAGTGTAATCTTTGGCAAAGCCCTAGGAAGGTTGAGTGGGTGGTTGACCCATAAAAAAGACCAAGTTCCTGAGGAAAAGAAAGAAGAAAAATAAGTGTAATCTTCGGCGAAGCCCTGAGAAGGTTGAGTGGGTGGGTGACCCACAAAAACGACTAAGTTCCCAAAGAAAAAAAAGAAGAAAAATAAGTGTAATTTTCGGCGAAGCCTTATAGTCGGCTTGAAACAAGTTGAAGGTAGAGTCCGTGCTATGTAGAGATACATAGAGTGCTACTAGTGTATGTATACTAAGCAACAACAGGCTCGAGCGGGCTAGTGGCCAACATAACAATTAGAATGTCGTGAGACAGTTCGGTTCCTATCTACCGTTGGTGATTTGAAGAGAAACGAGAGAAGCTATCCCTAGTACGAGAGGACTGGGATGTAATCTTCGGCGAAGCGCTGGGGAGGTTGAGCGGGTGGTTGACCCACAAAAACGACGAAGTTCCYCCCCCCCCCCCCCAAAAAAAAAAGTGTGATCTTCGGCGAAGCCCTAGGGAGGTTGAATGGGTGGTTGACCCACAAAAACGACCAATATCTCGAGGAAAAAAAAAGAAGAAAAATAAGTGTAATCCTCGCCGAAGCCCTAGGGAGGGTTAAGAGGACGAGGACCCTAAAAACGGCTAAGTTTCAGGAAAAAAAAAAAAAAAAAAAAAAAAAAAGTGTGATCTTCGGCGAAGCCTTGGGAACGTTGAGTGGGTGGTTAACCCACAAAAACGACTAAGTTCCCCCCCCCCAAAAAAAAAGAAAAATAAGTGTAATCTTCGGCGAAGCACCGGGGAAGTTGAGTTTGTGGTTGACCAACAAAAACGACTAAGTTCCCAAAGAAAACAAAAAAGAAAAATAAGTGTAATCTTCGATGAAGCCCTAGGGGGGAAAAAGAGGACGAGGACCCTAAAAACGGCAAAGTTTCCGAGGGAAAAAAAGAAAAAAAAGAAGAAAAATAAGTGTAATCTTCGGCGAAGTCCTCGGAAGGTTGAGTGGGTGGGTGATCCAAAAAAACGACTAAGTTCGCAAAGAAAAAAAAGAAGAAAAATCAGTGCAATCTTCCGCGAAGCCCCGGGGAGGTAGAGTGGGTGGTTGACCCTAAAAAACAACTGAGTTCCCAAAGAAAAAAAAGAAGAAAAATAAGTGTAATCTTTGGTGAAGCCCTAGGGAGGGTTAAGAGAACAAGGACCCTAAAAACAACTAAGCTCCCGAGAAAAAAAAAGAAGAAAAATAAGTGTAATTTCCGGCGAAGCCCCGGGAGGTTGAGTGGCTAGTTAACCTATAAAAACGACTTAGTTTCCCAATCAAAAACAGAAGAACAATAAGCGTAATCTTTGGCGAAGCCCTGGGGAGGTTGAGTGGGTGGTTCACCCACAAAAACGACTAAGTTTCTGAGGAAAAAACATAAGAAAAATAAGTGTAATCTTCGGCAAAGCACTGGGAAGGTTGAGCGGGTGCTTGACCCATAAAAACGACAAAGTTCCAAAAAAAATAAAATAAAATAAAAGTGTGATCTTCGGGGAAGCCCTAGGGAGGTTGAGTGGGTGGTTGACCCACAAAAACGACTAATATCCCGAGGAAAAGAAAAAAGAAAAATAAGTGTAATCTTCGGCGAAGCCCTAGGGAGGATTAAGAGGACGAGGACCCTAAAAACGGCTAAGTTCCAGAGGGAAAAAAAAAAAATAATAATAAATGTGATCTTCGGCGAAACCCTGGGAAGGTTGACTAGGTGGTTAACCCACAAAAATTACTAAGTTCCCAAAGAAAAAAAAGAAGTGTAATCTTCGGAGAAGCACCGGGGAGTTTGAGTTGGTGGTTGACCCACAAAAACGACTAAGTTCCCGAAGAAAACAAAGAAGAAAAATAAGTGTAATCTTCGACGAAGCCTTAGGGGGGGTTAAGAGGACGAGGACCCTCAAAACGGCTAAGTTCCAGAGGAAAAAAAAAAAAAAAATTAAGTGTAATCTTCGGCGAAGCCCTAGGGAGGTTGACTGGGTGGTTAACCCACAAAAACGATTGAGTTTTCAAAGAAAAAAAAAAAGAAAAATAAGTGTAATCTTTCGTGAAGCCCTAGAGAGGTTGAGTGGATGGTCAACCCACAAAGAAAAAAAATGAAGAAAAATAAGTCTAATCATCGGCGAAGCCCTGGGAGGTTGAGTGGGTGGTTGACCCACAAAACCGACTAAGTTGACGAGGAAAAAAAAGAAGAAAAATAAGGGTAATCTTCGGCGAAGCGCTGGGGAGGTTGAGTGGGTGGTTGACCCAACAAAACGATTAAGTTCCCAAAGAAAAAAAAGAAGAAAAATAAGTGTAATCTTCGGCGAAGCCCTGGAAAGGTTGAGTGGGTGGTTGACCCATAAAAACAACTATGTTACCCCCCCCCCAAAAAAAAAAAAAAAAGTGTAATCTTCGACGAAGTCCCAGGGAGGTTGAGTGGGTGGTTGACCCACAAAAACGACTAAGTTCCCAAAGAAAAAAAAGAAGAAAAATAAGTGTAATCTTTGGCGAAGCCCTAGGAAGGGTTAAGAGGATGAGGACCCTAAAAATGACTATGTTCCCGACGAAAAAAAAGAAGAAAAATAAGTGTAATCTACGGCGAATCCCTGGGGAGGTTGAATGGGTGGTTAACCCACAAAAACGACTAGGTTCCCAAAGGAAAAAAAATATATATATATATGTGTGGTCTTCAGCAAAGTCCTGGGGAGGTTGAGTGGGTGGTTGACCCATAAAAATGACTAAGTTTCCAAGGGAAAAAAAAAGAAAAATAAGTGTAACCTTCGGCGAAGCCATAAAACGACTAAGTTGTCAAAGAAGTATAGGTATGAGGAAAAAAAAATGGTCATAGTGTTAGTGTTACCTATGCACGAAATCTTCTTTTTAAATTTACTGAATATGTACAAGATCGTTAACCATCTCCCGGTAAATCCTTTACCTTCATTCCCAGATGCAACTTTCGAATTGCCTTCTCTGAGATATAAGACCGCGTCGATCCTTGATCTAACAAGGCACCTACTCGCGTGTGCGCAATCTCAACATCCGCGATCATTAACTCACCCTTAGACTTTGCTTTCTTCTCCCACGAACTCCTTCGTGCTATTAGTTCATTGTCGAGCTCGTCAACAGAATCGTCCAGTGAGATAGAACAAAGGACTGTGTCAGGGTGGTGTAAACGACGGGCGGAAGAAGAGTCATCCTCTGCCTTGAGAGTCGAAGGGGTAGAAGGGGTTGTAGGCGCCTTACCTTTTTCTTCGTCTATACCCTTCGACTCAGTAGGAGCAGATGCTACTCCTACTGACTGCTCGCTTTTGGGTTACGAATAAGCGGGCACCAGGTTATCACGTGCCCCATGGTGCCACACTTGAGGCACTGGCGGTTGTCCATCTTGGACTGTCATTGCTCACGAGTCATATTCATCTTCTCCCAAGGCCTCCCGAACGCTATTCCGGGATGTTCAGGGAACGAGCGTGGCCTCTTCTTCCTCCACTGGGTCTGACCTC